CCCCCCGTTTCTGCCCCTCTTTGTGCCCGCCCGTTTCTTCCGTTGGCACGGCACTTGCTCGTGGGGGTTTCCAGAGAGCTCTGCCGCGTTGTATTTTATTTTGCGGCGGTTTCCTCTCCGTCGGCGCGCCGCTCGTTTAAACTCCCCGGGAGCGTGCGTACGTCGGCAGGGAGGGCGGTGCCGGGCCGGGCGCCTTTATTTATTGCGGGTAGGGCCGCTTCCTGAACCATCCCAGTGCCCCGGCCCCCCGCCCCGCTGCAGCTGACGTCATGTCGGCCCTCGTCCACCAAGCCATCCATGGTCATGGTTTTACCGATGTGAATGACCTCTCCAGATCCTACCCCTAGTCCCCCCCCCCCTCCTCCACCGGCTATACTCTGTACCTGCAAACGCATCTATCCAGTATCGCCTTACCTCAGCTGTCCGTCCTTCACAATACTACTTTTATTTCAACTCCAGATCGACCACCAAACAAATCCATAGCAGACGATGGGTCGCCTCCAGGTGCTCCTGCTTGTGGCGGCGCTGGCGGCGGGCGTCTCTGCGGTGAGTGCTACTATCGGTCCATTTGCATCGCGGCACTTTGCGCCCCGTTCTTCGAATCAAGTATCGGAACCACGACTCGTGCGCGTCGCGACGTGCTGACTTTTCTGCCTGCCTCCGCCAGGCTCCCGGCCATTTCCGGAAGGCCGTGTGGGTGAACGTCGGAGGTGCGGGGGCGGTGGACGGTGGCGGCGAGCAGCAGCAGACGGCCGTCCTCGTCAAGCCCGTGTACAAGCCCGTGCCGGTGCCCATCGAGGTGCCCGTCTACGTCGAGAAGCCGGTGGAGAAGCCCGTCTACGTCGAGAAGCCAGTGGAGAAGCCCGTCTACGTCGAGAAGCCCGTCTACGTCGAGAAGCCCGTCTATGTCGACAAACCCGTCAGTGGTGGCGGCCAGGGAGTCGCGTACGGCACGGTGCACATCAACTCCAACAACTTCTTCGATAACATCTTCAACGTGAGTATGCATCTCCCCGGTGCCTTAGCGTAGGCGTGCAGGGTGCAGGGGGCGCCTGGAGCGCCACCGCCCCGTCGAGCAGAGGTGCCGTGCGGGCTGGCCCACACCGCCGGCGCTCCGGAGCGCCTGGAGCGCCACCGCCC